GGCCGCGCCGCTCTTTTCCCGCTCCAAAAGCTCTTCGAACTTCTCCCGAAGCGAGTTCCGAGTCGTGTTGAAGTGTTCGTCGAGATCCTTCCACTGGAGCGTCAGCAGGAGGACTGTGGAGGCTTCCGAGTGAAGCGCCTCGTACGCTTTGCAGAGACTGACCTGCTTCAACTCCGATATTTTCATATCCGACTCTATCTTCTCCATTTGTGTCGGTGATTCCGCCATTGGAGGACGATGGCAAAACCCTAGGGAGAAATCAACGCGACAAGAAGGATTTCAGACACTGTAAGACTCGGATTCCAATATTCCAATAAATAATGTATAAGATATGCAAGAGAATGACGGCCGAATGTAAATAACCCTATACATATACACACATGCGAATGTGTGTATATATTTTTTGGAATAATTCCAAAGGGATAAAATATGGAAATCGATGAAGATCGTGATTCGTGTACGGTGTACCAGGGCCACGTTTGACATGTTTTCTCATATCGTGCAATATTGAGGAAGTTGCAAAATATATAAATGGAGAGATTTACGTTTGATATATTAATAAGTTAAATTTTTTAATTATTAAATTTGTGTTTATGTGATTTATGTAAAGTGATGGATAAAAAATTTAATTTATTAATATATTACGTACTAAAAAAGACATTCTATTAAAAAATATAATAAATTATTAGAGATTTTTGACCTTTTGAAACTTTTTCAATTTAGTTATCATTTTTCATTTCTTATAAAGTTTGCTCCTTTATGAGAATTAAAGAAAAAAAATTGACCCAGCTGTTTATTTTTAAGAGATTTTTTAATACGTCAGTGTATCGGTAGATTAAATTTTTTTAACTGTTGGATTTGAGTGTTTTTTTGTATTTTACGTGATTTTATATATATCTAATAATTTAAAAACTTGACTTATAGTGTGTTAGTGTACCAGAAAATATTCTTTTATTTTTTTTAATATTCTCTCTTTAGAATTTCTTAGATTTTTTAGGGGGGAAAAAAAAAAAGAGTAATAGTTGGTGAAGCTAATGAGATTCCTTGAAGATGGTTTTAAATGCTGTACAAGAATATCTTTATCTTATGCCTTCTGTAAAATATAAAGGACTCTATAATGAAATATGTTAATTAAACCTAAGTAAAATGTAATAAACATTTTAAAGAAAATATCAACCGTGGATCTAGCTGTTAATTTATCATTTAATGTTAAACCTTAATTATTCCTTCCAACAAAATTGAAATCCTAACAATTAGCACGCAAAAATTCCCAAACAAAGCCTAAGTTTTAACAATATTAACTATAATCCGATCTTTACTAGAATTACTATTTTGAAAAGATTAATTTCTTTTTTTTTCTTCTCAATTATGCATTTGATAAATTGCTACCTAGAGAAATTAATCTTCTGTACAATGTCGTCCCATGCATGCAACGTGACCAAAACCCCACGCCTACCTCGAGTCACCACGTGAGCAGCACCCACCCTACCTAAAATGTCTGTTAAAATATTATTAAGGCATGATCGGTAAGATTTATGATACGTACTGAAAGTCTTTACTAAGTTTTAACAACATTAACTATAATCCAATCTTTACTAAATTTATTGTTTTGAAAAGATTAATTTCTTTACTTTTTTTCTCATCATGCATTCGATAAATTGCTACCTAAATATTAGAGTAAGAAAATCTACTTTGTATTTAAAAAATAAAGCAATAAAAAATCACAAATGAAACAGAAATGGAATCACGTCCCACGATGATTTTGTTAGACTGCTTTGTTTTTGTCCCGTTTATTTCGCTGATTCGAGTTTAGAATTCGAGTTTTGCTACAGTAAAAAACTCTCACAAACAATCACATCTAACTTTTTTACTACAGTAAAAAATTTTCACATAAAATTACATCTCAACTCAAATTAAAAAGCTCTCACACTTCCAAAAGTAAGTGTATAATAGTACTTTCTTAAAATAAATATTAAAGGAAAAGAATGAACAAAAATAGATTTACTTTAGTACGCTTGTTGATTGATGTTTTTCTCTCAATATTTTGTGGGGATAACAAAAATGTGGAACACATATATGTAATAATAACGAGATTATAAGTCCTTAGCATTGAAAATAGGAGTACAATACTGAGACAGTAGACTTAGCGTGTAATCATGATTGAGAATATGAAATCACATGGACAGAGAAATCTTTGAACGGGCAAAATCAGAAATGTGGTTTTGAGTTTACTGTAGAGAAATGGTTTGAAAAGTAGAATTGAAGGGAGGAGTTAAACTCCTTTTGGATCATTCAACTCAACTTAAAATAGAGAAGTCAATTCAAATAAGAGTAGTTATACTTGCACCTCAAAAATGCGTTTGGTTAGTGTATTCGTGTCATGATTTAAATCATAGTTCGTAATTCGTTATGGTATTTTTTCACACAAAAAACACACGTAAATCGAGAATAATTTTGAATTGTGATTCTGAATTTATGAACCAAACGTCCAATTGTTTCCCAATAATTAACACCCCCTCTCATAAAGATTTGAAAAAATCTATCCTTTTATAAACATTATTTGTATAATACTTAATTTAACCCTCTCATGCACACACTTTAATTTTAATATTTTTTTTCATTTATTTGAAAAATAATTTTCAACATCTTCAACCTCACCAATCTTCTGTTCTTCCTTGAAAAATAACACAGAGTAGATGGAAAAAAAAAAAGAATAGTAATATTAAAAGTGCATGATTTGTTCAATGTGTATCTAAATGTGTATATATATTTTTTTTATAAAGGATTACAATGCATATTTTAAGAAAAGCAACACGCAAGAATAAGAACATAATTGCAAGGCACTCGTTCAAGTGGGGGGTATGTTTTTGTTTTTGTCTTTAATCTCTTTCTTTGAAAAATAAATTTTAATTATAGTTTTCTTTTTTCAATTGACAACAATGACTTTCAAATTGAGTTTCAATGATTATCTAGATCTTAGGTGTATAAAAATAAATTATTAGGAAAAATATAACAAAAACAAATCAGTTCCTCTAATGAAAAAAATATATATATATACACACACACACAAGAGAGGAGTATTCAAGACTAACTCAATTAACACCTTTACTGTTACCATTAGAAGTCAGCGCACCAAAACAATTCGTAAAACAAAATCCTAGTGGTTCAATGACACCTCTGCTTATTATATATAGAAGTGAAAATTGAATAAGTGCCGTATCTAGATTTCACTTTTTGCTCATAATTAAGCTCTTTTATTGTATGAATCTTGATCTCAGACGAATATTATTCCAAAAATAATGGCTGACACGGTTGTTTGCTTGGCGAAAGACAGAAGGTAAATTTGATCTCTCACTCAATTTTCCTTCCTGCATGTTCTTTTCCTTCTTAATATATACACATATATGTGTGTGTGTCTGTGTATAACATAATAGTAATTATTTGTTTGTACATATATAGGAGAACTATTTCTTTATTATCTAGGGCAAATTACTAGCTATTTTTTTTTCTATCTGCATGGCAGATATGGAAGCTAAATTTTACGGGCTTGGTTTAGTTACTTGTGCTCTACCGCTTGCTTTTATTTGTTGGGGCGGTGTTTATTTTCTCGCAAGCCATATTGCTGATTTTTTCGACATCAATAATGATGCGGCGTTATCAAAGTCTGTGATTTCTACCTTGTTTTCCACCTTTCTCATATATATTTTCACGTACGGCGTTCTTGTGAGTTTCGAGATTGTGCTAAAGGGCAGGAGATCTTCAACCGACAATGATGAGAATCTGTAAGTTAGATAACATACGCTAATTCTCTATGTAATTATGGATGTACGATCTTTAATTAGTTTTTTTTGCTAATCCGGTCTTTGATTAGTTTAATAGAGATACCCCAACCCCTCAGTACCACTAGACTAAGAGGTCTTAGACTTTTCCTGTTGAGATTTTAACAATTGATAGACAATAAGACTAATTTGATATGATTTGTTAGATCATGGATTGTTTTTGAGACGTTTTAAAAATGACAAACCAAAATAGGAATTTGACTTGAAAGTTGTAATTTGTGACTAGAAAATGAGTTTAACCCTACTATAAATGACTTTGCCTCCTTCCTTAAGCAAAGCAAAGCAAAAAAAAAAAAAAAAAAGACTTTTGCCTCCTAGTAATCTTAATTTTTAAACACCAATTCTAATATTAAAGTCGATTTAAGGTGATAAATGATAATTTATAAATATGTTTTTTTTCACAAGTATGGCATATAAATTTTAGACTGACTATTAGATGTTAAATCCTTAAATAAATAAAAAATGGAGTGCAGCTCGGGTTAATTTGTTGTCTTTTTTCTTTCTGTTTTATTTTTCTTCGAGATATTGACTTTTTCCGGACACAATTTCGTCGTAATAAGTTATTTAAAAAGGGATTATAAGCTCTTGGACTCACATTTAAAAAAAAAAATGATGACAATGACTTTCAAATTGAGTCTCAATGAATTATCTAGATCGTTAGGTATAACAAAAACAAAACAGTCCTCTAATAGAAAAGCAGAAGATTTGAATTTTAATTTTGAAGGATAATTTTTTATACGTTTTCAAAGATAATTTAAGGCATTCTTCTGTTTAAAAAAAAATAATAATATATATATATATATATCTCTCTAAAATATATATTTTTTCAAATTAATTTCCAAATTCATTAAATCACGGTTACTATTACTATTAGAAGTCAGAGTAATCTTAGTGATTCAATGAAACCTCTGTTTATTACATATAGAAGTGAAAATTGAGTAAGTGCCGTATCTAGATTTCACTTTTTGCTCATAATTAAGCTCTTTTGTTGTATGAAATTTTATCTCAGACGAATGTTATTCCAAAAATAATGGCTGACACGGTAGTTTGCTTGACGAATGACGAAAGGTAAATTTGATCTCTCACGCAATTTCCTTCCTGCACGTTCTTTTCCTTCTTAATATATATACATATATGTGTGTGTCTGTGTATAACATAATAGTAATTATTTGTTTGTACATATATTGGAGAACTATTTCTTAAATATCTAGGGCAAATTAAATAGCTCTTTTTTTATCTATCTTCAGGGCAGATATGGAAACTTAGGGCCTGTTCGTTTAGGTAGTTTTTGAGTGAAAAACTCAAAAAAAAGTAACTCGAGTTACAACTTTATTCAAGTTTATGTTTTTTTAAGTTTGAACTCGAGTT